CTTTACATAACAGTTTGTAGACTTAAAAAAAGAACTTCCAGTGATGGTATTTTAAAACATGAACAACTTTCTTACATAAAGATCATGTTACAGGACATAACAGACCGCCTACAACTTCCTCTATCGACCTGTGACAAACATGATTTTATCATATGTCCCTTCCAAAAGCATTAGAGTGGATATCGTTTTAGGAAATGTACAAGCAGAGGAAGGATCTGAGTGTTTGTAAACGCAGCGAATGCTCATGGTAACATCAGTCTTGTGCCAAAACCAGAACTTCCTCATGAATCTGTGCCGACATGCCGCTCCAACCAGGAGGGCAAACGCTATAGTTTGTGGTTTTGGCCTGCTAGGGAGTGGTCCATGTAAGAGGTGGAGTGTGTGTGTGTGGTCTGCGTGTGTGAGGGGGGGGTGTGTGTTGTGTGTGTGTGATGTGTAAAGAGTTTCAAACTGTCAGATCATTCACACATTAGTCATAACCAGCATTCTTCATTGTGTTCACCTCACTGTGCGGGCACACACACACACACACACACACACACACACACACACAGGCACACACACGTACGCAGACACACGTACGCAGAGACACACAGCTGTCTCGCAGCACTTCAGGAGAATTCCTCGCAGTTGGCCGCCGTGAACTTGATGTGGGGAATAAGAGTGAAAGGACAGTGAAAGGACTGTAGCCATCTCTTCTTCTACATTTCTGTGTGTTTGTGTAGCCATGATTTTTTACCATCGTGTTGTGCATTACTTACCATCTGACATTCTGAGCCTGTAATCACAGCTCTGTGCTCGCAGTTATGGTGATCAACGTGGTGATTTTGGATCTATGTTTAGGAAGTTTATGTGTGGTGTATTTTAGGTTTAGAGTGATTTTTGGACATTTGTGTGAGAAAAAAAGTTACACAAGTATGCTTGAAACGTAGTTGGACTTGTCACAGTCTTCTATCCAGTTTGGAACTTAATTTAAATTGAATAAGAAGTATAAGTAAGTACCAATACCATAGTGTAAAAAATATACTGTCACAAATAAAAAAGCATTTTAAAATTGGCCATATGAGAATAATTTATGTGAAGTATCAAAAGTAAAAGTCAAATTCACAATGCAACATATTTTAAAAGCTTTTAATTGGTTTTGAATGAAAACATTTTTAACTATTACCTCTAAAATAAATACATGTAGTAGAGTAAAATGTTCAATGTTTGCCTCTGAAATGAAGTGGCTAGAAGTATAACATATCATGATATGAAAATACTATAGTAAACTATCAAGTTTAGTACTTCAGTAAATGACATTACACTACTAGACTTGGACTAATGTTGATACACTCAACATCTGGGACATCTGCTGCAGGTTTTTTCAGTTATCCTAGATTTCTTCCAGATTATCATCAATTGGTAGAATACATACAGCCAGAGGCCATGTAAAAATAACCTACCATGAAATCTGTAACTTTATATCAATAAGGCTCATTCTGTTTTTAGTATTTAGTCATTTCTACTAAAAAACAAACAGCACCGATTATGTTTTAGAATATTTTTTTACCCAAATATTGTGCCCACACACATGCAATATGTTTTTTGAAATTTAAGACTTATAGTCTTACTGGCAGACTTAAGGTTTGTTAACTACTTACAGCACATTTAAAAGGAATGTGTTTGTAGATCAGATTGCAGGACTCAGTCTTGTGTTGTTGGTCTGTCTCAAATCAGCTTTATTGTCCAAGTTATCAGTTGTATGAGCCGTTTTATCAGGCAGAGATAAGATTTAGGAGGACCATATCACACATGAGCACTGTGACATGAATGTTACGCACATATTCAAACACACAGGCGGACACAGAAACACAGATATGTATGTCTGGTCGCTGTGCTTTCACACAAAACAAATATTTGAGAGGCACTGTTCATCTTGTGTCAGAGTGGGTAATGAAATGCATCTCATCACTAAAATGCAGCAGGAAATATCAAAGGGGTTTGTTTGAAACCTTTTTCTTCCCCTTTAGTGTTTCAACACTGCCTCTCTGTGGTGGAATATTTAGGTGAGAAAGATTGAGAAACTGAGAAAAGCTGATTAGTGTTACAAACACTAAAATCCAGTAAAAAATGCAGTGACATGTACACGCAGCTATCAAGTGACACAGTTGTTCAGCTTTATCTTACATTGGATATTTTGCATTTTTTATATATTTAATTCTTGTTATTTACGTCGAGCACAGTACTGGAGGGGGCAATGCAGCATTTCACTGCAGTGTAGAGAAATGTTGAAGATGTGACCAATAGTGTCCATGTAAAGAGAATACATTTCAGGTGGACAAAACAAGCACTATAAAGATACCATCATGGGGAAATTGTGAACATTTCCTGACATTTTATAGACCGAAACTGTTCTGTGTCTTTCAGAGCGACGATGGCAGAGAGCTCGCACTGTTTCTACTGTCGGGAGGACCTCGGGGGAAAGAGATTCGTCCGCAACGAAGGCAAGCCGGTGTGCGTCCGCTGCCACACCAAGTTCTGCGCCAACTCCTGTGCCGAGTGCCACCGACCCATCCCTGTGGAATCAAAGGTGCGTGTTAGCAGCAATTTCTATGCATTTCTTCAAAAGGTCGGTCCACTGCGACAGTTTTGCCTCCCTCCACATGCCTCTCATCAAACTCTTCCCTGTTCCTTCCGCCATCAGGAGCTCAGCCATAAGGGCCGGTACTGGCATGAAGAGTGTTTCCGTTGTTCAAAGTGTTACAAGCCTCTGGCCAAGCAGCCCTTCAGCACCAAGGACGACCGCATCATGTGCGGAAAATGCTGCTCCAGAGAGGATGCGCCACGCTGTCATGGCTGCTACAAACCAATACTGGCTGGTAAGACGAGCAACTTCATTTTGACATAGTTTTAACTTATTTAAGTGATTAAATTACCATTGAATAAACTTTCTCCAGGAAGAGCATTTAAAACAGATGCAATACAAAATAACTGAACTTTACATACAATTATTGGAGGAGAGGTACAGCCCTGTTCATCATAAAGTCACCATCCAGCCACTGTCATAGTTGACTCACTTAAACAGTGAAATGTTTAGAATTTCAAAAATAAAGCTTTACACTTGGTTGTTAATGTTGACTTCATTACCCGTTTCTCTGCCCTAATATCTCCCCATCTGTCATCTTCCGCAGGCACAGAGAGTGTTGAGTACAAAGGGAACTCGTGGCACGATGAGTGTTTCACCTGTTGCAGCTGTAAACGGCCACTAGCATCAGAGAGTTTCCTCTCCAAAGGAAACGATTCTTACTGCAACCCCTGCTATGACAGAAAGTTTGCCAAACACTGCGTCAGCTGCAAAAAGGTTAGTTTTTTTTCTTTTTTAAACAGGGACCAGACAAACCTTCCTCATTCCTTCTAGGTGAACATGAACTAACTGAAAGGGGGATGACCGTTTCGAAGTTGTAATTTTTAACTAGAGACTAGAAAGTAAGATAAATTGAGGTTAAAATATGATGGTAGCAATATTACAAACCAACATTTCTTTTACAATCTCTATTTCTTGTGCATTGAAAACACTTAGTCAAAACCGTATTAATGCTAATGATGTTATATGGTAATTCTAGCGTTAACACACTTAGCTCTTCTCTTCCATCTGTCTCCAGCCTATAACCTCTGGAGGAGTGAACTACCAAGCTCAGCCGTGGCACAGCCACTGTTTTGTGTGCAGCTCCTGCTCAAAGCCTCTGGCAGGGTCGAGTTTCACCAACCACCAGGATCAGGTCTTCTGTGTCGACTGCTACAAGAGCTCTGTGGCAAAGAAATGCAGCGGCTGCCAAAACCCCATCACAGGTTACAGACAAATGCTAAAATCTGCACATATCTTCCCCTCCAGTCATATTTAAAAGATATTTTATGCCAGTCAGAAGTACTAATGTAGCCAAGAATGTTACAGGAAAGGCATCCACACACTCCAATACGTGCAATCTTCATTTATTAAGGCAAGCTTGTTGTAAGGACCCGTCACCACGAGTGTTTTGCACTAAGACTTAAGTGATTTTTGAGACCAATACTGATATTGATTTTAGAGGGGAAAAATTCACAGTTTATTGATATAGTAGCCGATATAGTGAACTTTACAGCTGGAATGAAAATAGACCAATTTAGGACCAAATATTATAATATATATATAATATCTACGTTGTAGATATAAATAACACTATTTACATGTCAGAAATTGGTCATTACTATGTGAGGACATGAAAGCAGCATTAAGCTGTGACTCCACCCGAAATGAGACAGTCCATCCTCATAGAAACTAAAGAGAGATTTCCTGAAAATGGCCAATAAAGTGTACATTAAGTATTAAAACTGTACTATAAACTGGGTAAACTTCAATAACAGTTTAAGTTTGTAGTATAACTGTGACTTCAAAATCATGATTGTACCAGATTAACTTTAAATATAGATGTAGGTGTTCATGTATTTAACATATTTAGGCTGCTAACAAACATTGACAACCACCTGAATGCAAAAAACTGGATCAAAAGGACGCGGTCACATGATATTTTCTGACCTCACAAGTTCGGCACAATCCGTGACCGAAAAGTCAATAAAAGGGATGGAACGCCTGAACGGAAATACCCCGGCACCGAATGTGTGTTGATGCTTTTCCTACTTTTACAGGATAAAAACAGAAATCCAAGCATTTCAGCAGGATTTCTAGGTGAGAGTGGTGAAGACGTTTACTACTACTGAGGCAGTAGTTGAAGAAAAGAAAGGAAAGGATTAGGGTTAGGGGTTAGAAAAAAAAATGTGACAGATATCTAACTCTCCTCTCCTCTCTCAGGTTTTGGTAAAGGAGTGAACGTGGTGAACTACGAGGGCAGCTCCTGGCATGAATACTGCTTCAACTGTAAGAAATGCTCCCTCAGTCTGACCAACAAGCGTTTCGTAGCCAAGGGGAACGACATCCTCTGCGCCGACTGTGGCAACAAGTAGAGATGGGGAACCTGATCAGCGGTTTATATAGTCATCATGTTTTTCTTTTTCTTTTTACTTAAAGGCCAGAGTCTCCATTTCAATTATCTGTTTGATATTTGTTGAGTTTTTGGGAAATTACCCACAACGTGATGAAACATTGGGACCAAAATGTAATGTGTGTCCACTGTTGTTTGCTCTGATGCTGTATGCTAACACTAACATACACTGTGCTGACTGATGGTAATCACTAGCTTAGTACTAAAAGTTAGAAACCACCTTATTATTATGTTATTAGTATTATACTAAAACACTTGTAAAGACGGTGTAACATTGTGTTTTGAACATTAATGAATGCATTACTTGCCTGAAATACTAAAAGTCGATCAATACTGAGGTAACAAGGCTGTGTATGATTCCACAGGTCATGTAAAACATTTTCATTTTGAAGAGGTCCCGTTTTGTTATGGACAACAATGCAAAGAGATTCTTTATGAGCTGATGGTTGAGAGTCATCACTTTCATTCAACACGATGTATGCTAAAGTGTTAGCATAAAGCTAGAGGGCGCCATGTATTTTTTTAAAGTTGAGAAATCAATGCTTGTATGTTGCATGTTAGGTGAAATTTTAAATAAATACATGAATTAGGATTGTTTTAAATGTTTTGTTAGCACAAAAATAAGTGCTTATGTTAGTGGCATTTATGTTTTTAAAAGGTGACATGACCAAAACGTGTCTGTTTTTTTAATAACCAAAATGATATCTATATTTGTAATTGCTTGTTGCCAAAGGATTACTATGCTTATTGTATGTTTTAAGTAAATAAACTTTTATGCACTTTTCTTAACCATTTTCCCTTCAATGAAAGAGGGAATTTAAACATCAAAATTGAAATATATGCTTAAGTGTATGCCTTGATTGCTAAAATTAAATAAACTTTATATAAAACTCAGTGTTCGCTTTGTTTTCATTGATTTGATTTTCTATTATAACCATGTTAAGATAGAGGGGACACAACCTTTTTATATGAATCTGCCCCTTGTCATAATGGGAACTTAATAGTTTAAAAAGAATCTATATGTATAAAATAAAGTGTAACAAGCGTTTTCTAGAGCCTGTTGAAAGAAAATAATAGTTTTACTATAAATATTGGACAGATTGATGGCTTTTCTCAATGTTGCTCGCTTTACATAGATTACAGATACATTACACAGAAAGCTATAAACAGGCACCACCTACTTCAGGTCAGTGTGGCGTTTTTAAGTGAGTATTAGAGAGCTTTAGCTTTACATGTGCAGGCAGAGTGTTTACAGAAAGCAGTGCATGTTTGTCAAAACCAATCATGTGTGTGGGAGTCAATTACTTTTGAATTGACTGACTGGTAAGATGATATTCAACATGGACATGCCCATTTTCTCCCTCTCCCTCCTTTTTATGCCTCACTAGTCTCATTTTTTCACCTGCACACAGGTTCAGACACACATGATGTGTGGACCAATCACAGCAACACTACACTGGTCTCCGCTCCACGCACAGTCACACCATCTTTGTTTGCAGATACAGGTTTGTAGTTCATCTTATGCTCCGTCTCAGAGCTTTGAGGTCCTCTTGCAGTACTAACTATTGCTGCTGTTGTGAGTCTGGACCACGTTTTACCTTTAAAGATCTCTATTGTTTTTAGGATTATTGTATTCATGCAGGTAAGTACTTCTTCAGTTCTTTGAATTGTGTTTTAAAAAGTAAAACTCAAATAGATTTTTAAAAAAATAATTGTGTTGTGTTAAATATCTGTACACTGTGTCTCATTCAGTTAATGCACAAAGGTTCTTACTGAATCTACTGAAAACTCTTTTTCAGATTTGTGATGATTTTTCTTCAGAAATTCCTGAAAGTGTTTATCACTCTGTCTCTGCTGAGCGGTCCTGCATCCACTATGGAGCGAAGTAGGTATACATTTTGAAATGATAGCGTCAAAATACTTAAATATGGTAATATAGTAAGAATTCATAGTTATGGTTATACAAGCGTTAGATGAGACAATCGACTCGGGAACCTTTGTGTGTGTTTTCACATCACAATCTGCGTGGCTGATTTTACAGTTCTGTGAGGAAGTTGCTGCGTTGTAAATAAGTCAAGAATATCTAAAACAAACATGGTATACAATAGATAAACAGCCACATGAAGCAGATATGAGAAGTTAAGCAAAGCCTGTAATCTCCAGCTTCCATAGACTGGAATTCCCATTTTTCCTGAAAAATTATTAACAACTAACTAATTCAACTAACTCAATATTCTAAGAAAGCACATACAAGTAACAAACAAATAGAGAAAACAATTAGTTATTCAATTTAGTGCTGAAATCCTTCATTAATCTGTCCATCGACAGATTAGTGTGACAACATGCAATCCGCAGTGCCACTAAATCCCGCACACTGGTTCTTTAAGTAAAATATTTGCCTAAAATCATCAGCAACTATTAAGCCTTAATGTACTGCTGCTCTACAGATCTATTCCGCTCTATGTGATCTGTGTTAATGATCTTCTGTATACTGTGTTTCTGTCAGTCTCTGGACTCAGTCTATGGGGGAACGTGGCTGATTTCACCATCGACTGCAGCCACTGGAGCCTAAAGCCTCAGGTCTACATCCCGGCCCTGCATGAGCTCACTGTCTGCTTCAACCTGAAGTTCAAGGTAGTGATGAAGAATGTCCTTTTGGCCACTGGACAACTAACTCATTAGTTACACTGATATAACATTTAAGGGAAACTGTATTTAAGGTGCCTTCAAAACTTTAATTATGTTTCACATTTCATCAACCATATCTAGGTCATGGCTTTCTCATCATGGACCGCCTTCATGTACCGTCACCCTGAGCTTAAGTATCCTGAGCTGGGCTTGGAGGGAAAGTGGGGTCATTTAGTGGTCTGGCTGTTTGGGACGAGGTGGACTACCACTCTGGTCGACCTTCGTGTGTCAAACTGGTACTCACTGTGTCTGACCTGGAAACATACTAAAGACAGACCTGCGCTATACATCAATGGCAACTCGGTGGACATCAAGGCAGGTGGGTTAAATAATACTTAACTGGGTTAGAAGTTTACGATCTTTATAAGGTGGCTTTTTTTTTAAGAGATACAAGAGATGTTTTATATTCTGATGGTGCTCTGTTACCATAATTGTTTTCTATGTTGTATGTTCTTGAGCTGCAAAATACATTCCACTTTGAGGGGCATTAGATCCATATTCTATTCATGCCCGGTTAGTATTTACACTGGGCCTTAACTTAAGGCAAATCCATCACCTTGGTGGGATACAAAAAGACAAAGCAGCAGCATGAAGATCATGCAAGGAAGACGAGGTTTTTTTTGTGCTACGTAGCCAACTAATGATGACTGATAGTGGAAAGAATTTTATAACGACACTGAGAAGTTGAGAAGCTGAATTTAATGTGGATTGGTCATGTCCAAATCACTCATCTGCTTAATGGAGTTAGTATTAGGATAGTACCAATAGCAATCGTATTGGATCCACACAACTCTAACTGAATGCAGGTTAGATAACAGTTTAGAAAAGTCAACATGTACCAACATTTTCAGTGCTAAAATGTGTTTTCATTTCAGTGGTAATTACTTGGAAAAAAGATAATTAAAGAGTCCATTGTCTTTACATTGTGCTCTTTTGGCTCTGAGGCAACTGACAACTATAGGGTTCTTGATGTTTCAGGTTCAAACTGTGATAATAAAATGTATTTGACCCTCTTTTAGCCACACTACCCTGTTTTCTTCCTTCCTAGCTCACGATGTGGAGACAACTCCTTCCATTTCCCCCTCGTGCTGCAAACTGGCCCCCAATGGAACGCTTACGCTGGGTGCAGCACACATCCTGGTCAACGGGAATATCAGGATTATTCCATTTACCGGTCTGTTACAATTATCTCTGTTTCGGCTATGGGGGCGAGAACGCAGCAAACAGGAAGTGACATCACTTAAATGTACGGAGGGGGACCTGGTGAAGTGGGAAGGGGGCGACTGGGACACGACTGGGACCTGTGCTCCGCGCCCTGATTCCAGCCTGCAGTGTGGTGAGCCAATGAAACTGAAATACGTTTTTCTCTGTTTGAAGTAAAATGCTTCGGTTCAAATCTTCTGAACAATACATTTACCAGAGGCATCTGCAAGTATCACCAAGTTGAATATTTTCCCCCATCGGTCATACACCAACCAGTCAGTGATTCATTTCAACTCAGTCAGTTTCATCAAGCGTTTTGCAGCTTTTTCCTACCTAAGCTGTAGCCTGTGTGGCTGCCTTTGGTTGTATGTCCACAGCCCCCAGATTAAATACTGACCCCGTCAATATATAGACCGCATTCTCTGATCAATACCATTAAGATTGGAAACATCCATCACTGGTTGTTGTTTCCTCTCTGCAAAGCTGGAACCTGTTGTAATTTTCATTTTAAAACTAATGTTAAGCCGAACCCACAGGTAAACCTTGTCTTCTTGATTTCAGTAACAATTGCCATCAGGTGATTCACATTTTTAATATTAATTAATCTTTTTTTTTTTTTTACAATTACAATTATTGATTCTGATTTCTTTGACTTGTCACGACAAAATCTGAATTTTCCTGTTGTAAGTGTAGAAATGTATGTCTGTAAGAAATTCTGTCACATACACCTTTAAGTAAAGGTAATAAATAAAATCTAACTGACGATTTATATCAAAATATGCAAAGATCAAACGGGTTTAACTTTTACATAAAACATTTCTGACACATTTAAACCCAGAGTATTAGGAATTGCTCTTCACAACAATATTACGTTCTGCTGAACCACTTGAACTCCGGTTTTGTTCGGACATATTTAGCTTTGATTAAGTCATAAACTACAAGCTAAACACTGAAGAAAATGCCACAGAAAACCTTTGTAATCATCGCATTTTACCTCTGTAGTAATTTCTTTATCATAATGAAAGTTTGCCATGAAATTAAAATGCTTTTAGGATTTATAGTAGAAAATTATGGCAAAAATATTTAACTGTGAACAATATAATTGGTTTAAGTTTCATTTGTTACTGTAATGTACATGTTCATATACTTAATGGTGTTTTATATTCTCTCTGGCTGATCGGCAGAGTGGTCCATTTACGAAGTGAGACTGATGTTTACCATCACCCGTTACGATGGGAACAACACTGAGCTCTACACAGTCAAAGATATCGCACGTCACTGGGTAAAAAAAATATATAAAGATTTTATCAATTCAATTGTACAAACTGACTGAAAAGTGTTATGTTACACTGATGTTGATTATTCTTGCAGTCACTTTGTGTGTGGAAATGTCTGTAAAAACTACAGGGGTGTTGGGTTGGATTGTGTTATATTGCACAGGTGATATTTTGTGGCTGTAAACGCTCTCTGCTGTTTGTTGTTCCTGCAGCTCAGAAAGGTTCTGCCGAGCAGCATCTATTTGTACAATGTGTCTGTGTTTGAAGTAACCAGGTATGAAGAGATTCATGTTTACGACACTGACACGACTCAATGTATTTTGTAATAAAATACCAATGAATGTAATTTTGTGCCACATCAGTTAAACCTTATTTTATAGTATTTGACAGAAAGGGGGAACCAGAGGACCATAAACATACAGAGTTTCTCTGATCTCTTACGCAGATCCACTACAGAGGACGACAGCCTTATAAAAACAGTGCATGAAGACGGGCGGGTAAGCAAGCACATTAAAGCCTGATCAATCACCAGATATTTGCTTACTGCTGATAAGGCTGTAGTGGTGTACACGTTGGGCGCTAAGTAACAAGAAGTGCTCTCTGGTGGACATATAGTATTTGTCCACCAATACTATATCCAATATATTGTAAACAGATTTTTAAGTCAAACCTTGATATTGGAATTAACTCAGGCTCTAAAGCATGTAGGACATTTTACCATT